GCACCCAGCTGGGGAGGTTTGCGCCCAGCTGTGCAGGACTTGCGCCCATGCTCCATGCCCTGCTCTGCGAGGGTACACTGGGGCTCTGCAACGCTGTTTCTCCTTTGCTAGCTGTTCGCCCTAATTGCATAGGATATAAGGGGCCCGGCTCGAGAAGGAAGAAGGGACTTGCTGCTTCCGATTCTCCTCCTGCTCCTGACATACGGTGCTGCTTCACCTGCTTCCCAGAAGCAGTGGCTAAATCCAATGTTCAGATTTTCGATCTTGCAGAATCAGGGGCTCTGCACCCCCACCCTGAGCAGCAGCAACAGCCAGGCAGGGCCTCCCCTCAGGGGTCTCGGGGGCTCCTCCTCCAAGCTCAGAGACCCCAGTACCAGCTTCTGTTCCACATGTCCCCGGCCCCACAGTGCTGGTGCATCCTGCACCTGCCGTCTTGCATGTCCTCACTCTTTCAGGAGGGAAGAGCGTCACAGGACGGTTCTTTAGACTGAACTCACTCTCCTCAGATATGTGCTGTGGCTTCGGCTCCTGCCTGGCTCTGTGGCCGATGTCTCGACAATGGACTCAAGGGGGCAGGGCACAGGGGCAAGTCAGGGGCCACTGCCACAGTCCAGGCGGGAGGGCTGGGCCGTGGCTTGTCACGTAACCTGTTTTCAGACAGCGGTGTGAGGTGGGAGGAGGTGTCTCCATCCTGATGGACACCTGGGCAGTCGGAACTGGCTCTCGGAGACAGCGTCCTACATTCGGGGTGTGCCTGAAAGAAGGCCTGGGAAATTTCCTTCTAGATGCTTCTGTGAAGACTGTTGCTACAAGGCAGGCCTGTGATGAGCTGCTGTTGTGTAGATATGGGTGACAGAGAGACTATCTAGGATGCCAATTCAGGGAGAATTCCTCTCTTAAAACCTCATGTCTTTTTGTTAAGAGTTTTAATGCATTTGCTTTAGGAAACTGCTTAAAATTTTTTCTCCATCACATAGCAGCTTATGCAGTGACTGAACAGAAGCCGCGTCTACCTCAAATCGATGTGGTCTTTGAGTGATGATTGTGATATTTTGGGAATCGTTGTGGTGTGCTTTTGGATGAGAGGTGTTATATTAGGAAAAATAGTCCTGAGGTTTTCAATGGGAAAATAACTGGTCTTACTTCCTGAAAATGAACATCTGAATGTATGCGATGGAATGAGAGGGAAGGAGTGTTGGGTTACAAGGGTTCACGCTATGTTTTAATAGCTTGTTTTTTCAGACTTCTCTTAAATTCTTGTCCAGTTACACACATACATTGAAGTGCTCCAACTAACCACAGCCATATGGGGGCCGCTGCTCATGAGCTGTCGTCCTGTGAGTCCAGATTCAGGAGAAGCACATATCATAATTGGCCCAAAAGCTGTGTTTCCAGTAAAATATAAAATAGGTCATTTCTGATTCTTTTTAAAGCTTGGTAGCAAGTGTAGCCACATTCGTCATGCATCAGTAATGCTGTTTGGCTGGCATCTTGGTGCACAGTCATTAAAATGATCTCTTCTGAGAATCACCCCATCATTGTCTTTAAATGTTGGACATCAGAATTTAACTCATTTAATCATCACGTTAACGAGAGGACTGTACACATCAAAAAGTGAGGGCCGTACTATCCTAGTTTTAAACCATGTTTTATATCATCAATTGGCTTATTTTCAGAATGAAAATACCTAAACCTTTTATGATTTCTTGGTATCTCTGAAAATCATAGCAGGTGTTTTTTCTTTATGTATTTTTAAAACTTGACTAGCTATTATTCATTTTTCTGTGTCAAAATAAGATATTTGCATTTTTTTGTGATGCACATTTTGAACACTAGACAGCTAATATGAATTGAAAAACTGAAAAGTATGTAAGGGTTTACCCAGTTTTTTAATGAAACTGTTTGTTTTTTTGAGGAAGATTAGCCCTGAGCTAACATCTGCTGCCAATCCTCCTTTTGCTGAGGAAGGCTGGCCCTGAGCTAACATCCGTGCCCATATTCCTCTACTTTATATGTGGGACGCCTGCCACAGCATGGCTTGATGAGCGGTGCCACGTCTGCTCCCGGGATCCGAACCGGTGAACCCTGGGCGGCTGGGAAGTGGAATGTGCGCACTTAACGACTGCACCACCGGGCCAGCCCCCTGAAACTCTTTTATCACACAGAACTTTAGACTTTCAGAAATAATAGTCACTTAAATTGATATGAACTCTTTAAAATGTATTACTTCATTACCTTTAGATCTTGCTGTGTTTTTTTTAATAAAATTATTGTTGATGAGGATAAAACTCTACCCTCTATCCCCCTCTCTCATTCTTCCTTGATAATGACTATTGAATTTGAGGTGACTCTTTCCTTAGTATTCATTCAGAAATATATACGGCATTGTTTAATGTGTTGCATCTTTTACATAATGGCACCAAATTGTACCTATCTCCTTGCGACCCACTTTTTGCTCTACATTATATGTATAAATTATTCCATTTTTATACATTTCTAATATGTGTATTTAAGCCTATAAATTTCCCTCTGAATACTACTTTAGTTGTACCCTGCCAGTTTTAGCATGTGGTATTTTTATTATTTAGCACTAAATATTTTCTAATTTTCATTATTAATTTTTTAACCTAGGCTTTATTTAGATGTGTGCTTTTAGATTTCCACATGTATGAGCTCATTTTTGGTAACCTTTTTTGTTACTGATTTCTAATTTTATGGCATTGTGTTCAGAGCACATTTTCTCTATAACACTGATTTTCTTGGTATCTGTTGAGATTTTTTTGTATTCATTGAGAAACTTGGCTCTCTGGTTCATTTTTGTTTGTTTTTTTGTGAAGAAGATCGGCCCTGAGATAACATCTGTCGCCAATCCTCCTCTTTTTGCGGAGGAAGATTGTCGCTGAGCTAACATCTGTGCCCATCTCCCTCTGCTTTATATGTGGGATGCCTGCCACAGCATGGCTTGATGAGCAGTGCCTTGGTCTGTGCCTGGGATTCAAAACTGCGAACTCCAGGCCACCAAAGTGGAGCGCATGAACTTAAGCACTGTGCCGCCGGGCCGGCCCCTCTGGTTCATTTTTATAGATATTACATGTGTGCATGAAAAGAACGTGTTCTTGCTAACGATTGAGTCCATGTCTACATAGATGTTGTTTGGCCCAACCTTATTAACTGTATTCAAATTATTCAAGTTTTTCTAATTTTTTATATGCCTGACTTTTTTAAATTAGTAAATGTATTATCATCTCCCTCTATGATTGTAATCTTGTCAATTTCTTCTTATAATTCTGTTAATTTCTGCTTTATGTGTCTTCAGGCCATATTGTTAGGTATATTTAAGCTCAGACTTGTATTTTCAAGTTCGGTTGTTCCTTTTATCATTTTTAGAAACTATTTCTAGTTAGGTGTTCTTTCCTTTATATCTATTTTTTCTAGTACTTCATCAACCTTACTCTTTTTCCTTCAGATATGCTTCACACCCTTCACATTCAACCTTTAAAAATAAGATGTTTTAAGTGTTTTTCTTGAATTCTAACCTAAGACTCTCTTCTCTCTTTTACTTGCTGAGTTTAGTGTGTTTGCAATTATTATGATCACTCATACATTTGATCTTATTGTGTGCTTTCTCTTCCGCCTTTTATAAAAACTTCTGCACCTTCTATTTCTCATGAATTTTCTTTCCTTCTTCATTTCTTCTTCCTTAGCCTCTATTGCACTGATCAAAATGTTTTTTAATTCTCTTTTTTTTCCCTTGAATGTTTTGACCATTGTATTTTGTTTCTGTTCTATTCAGTTTTTTACTGTTCAGCTTCAAGAAACTAGCAATGTTGTAAGGTATTGCAGCTGTGCAATCATCTCTCTGTCTTTCCGTTTAACTAGATCTCTGTTTTCTTCTTTTTATACTCAGTGCCTTGCAAAGGGCCCAACATTTCGTAGATGATCTCTGAATGTTTGTTGAATCATTTGTATGCCATATTATGAGTCATCAAGTATCCTAACCTAGCCCCAGTTTGTGGCACACTAAACTGTGTCGACCTTAATAGCTGTGTGGCAGTGAGTGGACCCCTCTGTGTGTCTTGTTTCTCACCTGAAAATGAGTATAAAATAGTTTATACTTCATAGGTTTGTTGAGGGGATGAAAGGTAAGGTGTTTAGAATGCTGTCTGACACAGAGTGAAAACTCATGTATATATTAGTTTGTTACTGCTGTTATTGAATTTATGTGGAGCTTTATTTCCTGTTTGTAAATGAAGAACCACTTCCAGGTATGTGTACACTTTAAGCATAAATGCTTATGGATATAGATATTGTTCATTACATTTGTCTTAATTTGTTGAATATTCTTGACGTGGAAGGAAGATGGAAATCATTATGAACCACAATATATTTAGGTAACGTTTGGGGCCAAATGGTTCTGTGAGTGGAGTGCAGTTCAGTTCCAACCTGTGAGACATTTTAAATCACTACAGCGGTGTGGGGAGGTAAGCACGCCAGAGTGCCTCGGTGCTCGGATCAGAGACAGACCCTCCAAGGGTCAGCGTCCGAGGTGACACACCTGGGTTTCACCTGAGTCGTCGCACAGGAGGCTGCTCAGAGTGTCTTAGTTTGATAATCGTCAGATCAATAACTGGCCTCAAACTTCAAATGCCTTATGAAGGGCATCTTTCAGGTAATTCATTTAATATAGATTATGATCTATAAAAATAAATTTTGGTATATTAATATCCTAGTCTTTTAATCTTTTACCATTTGTAGTTCTGTAACTTTCAGTGGCATTTTACACATAGAGAATACATATATCAATAATTGTTAGGGTCAAACTGTACTGTTAGTGGTTACTCATATGGATGTTTTTGGAGTCCAATTCTGAAATTATTGTAAAGAAGAGAAAAAGTTTGTGTTGATTTCTTACTTTGGATTCAGTGTTGTTAGATATCATTCATGTGATGTTTATTCAGCATTTAAAAAGTACATCCTGATTTTCCCCCTTACAATTATAGGGATCGTCATTTATGAGCCAGCAGTCTCAGGTCTATAATCTTTTTGCAACTACCGCCGTTGGTGATGGGATGAGACTGTGGGACTTGCGGACCCTGAGGTAGGGCCATCCTGTTCACAGCCTGCAGCTGGGGGGTTAGAGGAGCCGTGTAAAACGTGTTTTTATGAAAACTCCCGAAGCACTTAGCTTTATCGATAAACTCAGTTTGATCTCTTTTCTTCCACATATGACAAGGTTGTGGTGAATCTATTCACACGGACCAATCTAAGAAAAGTCTGATTTATATACAAAAAAGGTCACATAAATGTGGAATGGTAAAATGATAGGTGCCGCCCTTTCCTCTGCTCCATGTGTGACATGTGGACCCTGAGTGTCAGAGACACACAGGGAGGGAACTGGACATTCTTAAACTAGAGCGATGCATGCACGTGCACACACACACGCATATATGTATATATGTGTATATATCTATTCTGATAATTATATTATGGCAAATAATCACTCAATATATAACATATATAGCAAAATATAATAAATATTTATAGATACGTATGTGTGTGTATGCATGTATATGTATTCACAAGGGCAAAATTAGTGGACTGTCTTTGCTCTCCTCCTTAATCACTGAACAAGTATAAAGGCCCCCATAGTCAACCTGTGTGACCAGAGGAGGAGCTGTCACCCACCCATGGGCATCTTGGGCGTGGGCGCTGTTGGTGTCATCGTGCCCCGTGGAGCCCAGCCCAGCACTGACAGATGCTTGCAAAGGCTTTCTTAGGAAGCCTCTGGGTATCCTGAAAGGTGTTGAAGATTTTCTCAGTAGAACTAGCATCGATTCCCTGTCATTTTTTACAATAAACAAATATTATATAGCACTTTATAAATAGTCGTTTGTGAAACTTAACCAGCCTTGACGGAAGGTAGCACCTCCCACAAGTCTTTGAATCATTGATCCAAATAATTTATGATTTTGGAAGGTTTGTTTTCATATTCTTAAAGATCTTTTATATTTTAAATATGTTAATCATTTAATATTCTTCATATATAAAAATTTCATTTAATGTTAGTTTGGTCATCTTTGTGAATTTATGATTTTGAAAAGAGTTTTAATTACTTTTAAAGATCTCCAGAATAACCTGCTTACCATGTAATAATCCCCAGGTATAAAACTGTCCCTTCACTGTTAGATTGCTCATTTTTGTGAGGGAAAGCAACAAATCAGTATCTTTCTCCTAATACGTGTTAAAAATTAAAAAATGTTTTTCCTGCTGCTGTTTTTTCTCCTCGCAGGTGTGAGCGCCGTTTTGAAGGTCATCCGAGCCGCGGCTATCCATGCCGGATTGCTTTTAGCCCCTGTGGACGATACGTGGCCTGTGGTGCTGAGGACAGACACGTATGTGCAGCCGTGGCGTGCTGGTTGGTCTTTGGCTGTAGGGATCCTGGGCTCAGTCCTCTGGACACTGCTAATATGGTTGCATGTTGGGATAAAAATCTGTTGTAGGCTTGACCACTGGCCAGTGTGTGAGACTCTCACACAGTCACACTATTTCAATAACGATAATGTGCAAGGTATGAAAGGCCCTCCTGGGCTTTTTAGTGAAGCATGATGCTTTAAACATCAATCACTCATTCATTCATTTCTTTATTCATTTATTTGTCATTGCACAAATGGCCTACCCTGTGAAAGACGCTGCGTTCCATGCTGCATTTCCTTCGAATTACAAGATAATAACATTAATATATAAGATCCCAGACTGCAGCTGCCTAACTGCAGTGTCCCTCTTAGCTCTCTTAGGGAACAACGTGCTTGTTTTAATGACGTCGCCTCCCCCTCCTCCCCCTCTGCCCACACATGTTACACGTCACTCACACTATCTTGCGGTTGATTTGGAACGGATACTAATATATCGACCGGTCTTTAACATATTTAAAAAGGTCTTCTGTTAGTTTTCTAGGGCCGCTGTAACAAATTACCACAAACTTAGAAGCTTAAAGCAACAGAAATCTGTTTCCTCACAGTTGTGGAGGCCAGAAGTCTAACCTCAAGATGTGGGCAGAGTTGGTTCCTCCTGGAGGCTCTGTGGGAGCGTCTGCTCCGGGCCTCTCCCACGGTGGGGCGGCCATCAGTCCTGGGCGTTCTTTGCCCTGGGTCTTATCACTCCGTCTCCGCCTCCATCTTCACACGGCCATCTTCCCTGTGGGTATCAAATCCCCTTCTCCTTTCTCTTACGAGGACTGGTCACTGGACACCCTAAATGCAAACTGATCTTACGATCCTTAACTGCAGTGACTCTCAGAGATCCCACTTCCAGATGAGATTGTGTTCACAGGCCCTGGGGGTCAGGACTTGGATGTATCATTTTGGGGAACACAATCCAACTCACTACTGGTCGATAGGGTTATCTAAACAAAAAAGACCTAAAGAAATGTGCAAAGATTCGAGGAAATCATAAAGTTTATTTGAAAAAAAAATCACTTTGCAATTTAACTGACAGATTTATGTTTCTAAATTTTTTCTTATTCACTTTAACAGGTGAGAATGGAATTTAAGAATACTGAAAAACTATTTTATGAAATTTTTAAACAGGAAGAGTTATTCTAAAAGTTTACTAGTTTGCATCTGACTAAAGGTGCTCCAATGACGTTTCTGTTATCTGCTATGATAGATACTTGAGCTCATCTCTAAATGAGGTAGTTTGTTCATGTGAAAAATGGGTAGAAATGCATACTTTAGGTTTTTTCAAGGAAAACAATGTATTCTAAAACTTGACTACCATGAAGCTAATAAATAATTTTCAAATTTATTAAAGCAACTTAAAAGATTAAAGTAACATTTACTCAACAATCTGAACTATATGCCACCATTTTTGATACACTTGTTTTGCAATTTTGAACAAAGACCCTGCCAACACCAACACCAACACCAAATAATGGGTTTCTTTTTTTCTAAATTGTTTCTCTGTATCCGGTAATGTAGCCAAAACTCTCTTAACTATTCACATTCATCCATCAAATTAAATTCTCATTTAGAACATCTTATTTTATATAATAGCTTCCTGGCTTTCAGGAAGAATATCAAATCCTTATTTGCTTCAAAGGCTTAAGCACTACTTGTATATTATCTAAGAAATTCATGAGATAACTTAACTATGGATCTATTCTTTTAGGAGCCAAATGTAAGTCAACTATAAACGTTGAATTTTCTTGAAATTTTTGATCATCATTTTCTTTTATTCAATGTATATGTGAGTGCAGCTGAAAAATATAATAATTGAAATTAAGAGTATGAAGACACAGAAACATTTAAAGTAGAGAGATGGGAAATGAAGATGATGTGAGAATACTTAAATGTAAAGTAGACTTTAAGGCTTAAAGCATTACTAGAGATAATGAAGGACATTTAATAATGATAATGATGCCAATCTATATAGAAAATGTCATAATTCTAAATCAGTATGCACCCAATAACATAGTTTCAAAATATATAAAGCAAAAGTAATCTAACTCTAAGAAGAAAAAGAAACATCTTTAATCATAATGGAAGACTGTAACAAACTTCTTTCAATGGCTGGAAAACAAATTCTGGCTGATCATGATGGTTTTCTGCTTTTAATATTCTGCTGGTTCTCTAATATCACGTGGAATACAGACCAGGATCTTATGTGTGGCATATAAGTATGTCTCCAACCTGCCTATCTAATTCCATCTCTGTTTCTCCTATATGTCTTATTTTCTAGTCCAGTGTGTCATACAACTTCTGGATATGGCAGTCCTTTTTATTAATACAAAATGGTGAGGATGAACCAAAAACATTCTCACAGACACTGAGACCACACCAGAAAAATGTGTTTTATTGACAGATGAAAACTAACAATATATTTGCAAATAAGCTGAAGGAAATTAAGAAAATACATAAACTTTACTAACAGAGGAGCTAAAGCAGGAACGGAAGAGTTCAGAAATGAAATCACTAGACAACAGGGACATGTGAAATGAAAACTGATACAAGGAAAGCGTTAGAAAAAAATTTTCTGAAGTAAAGACCAAATTTAAATAAATACAGAAGAAAGTAGATACTACAGATAGCACAATAAGGGAAAAAGAGAATATGAAGGAGAAAAATAAGTAAACAAATCCATATATTCATAGGTGCAAAAAGACATATCTAAAGAAGAGGAAATAAAATAGATCATAAAGTGAAAGGTTCTCTCTGTGTTTATATTATAAATATAATTAAAAATAAAGCAATAGAACAGAACTGAGATCAAAATAATCATCATATCAGTGAGTTCAAGTAGAATAAACTCATATTTTGAAAGAAAAAGACTCTCAGATTGGATTTTATAGGTAAGAAAAAAAAATCTGAGTCTATGCTGATGCAAGAGATGCTCTAACGCAAAGTGGCCCAGAAAGGATAAAAAAAGAGATGGGAAGTGTACATCAGGCAAGCGAAAATAAAAATAAAGCCGATTATAGGATTTTGATATCACACAAAGCATGATTCAACACCCTCCAAAATTAACGAGGCAAAGACAGTTTATAATGCCAAAGGCAAAAATTCACAATGAAAATATAACATAGATGTTAATGTAACAATAAATGTTACATTATTGTTATAGATCTAATATAGATCTACATGTTACATATCTAATAGATCTATATTAGAGCGATATATATATATATATATTTTGTTTTGTTTTTAGTTATCCTTTTGGAATGTCATTTAAAAGTCATATAAAACATGTTATAGATCTAATATAACAGTAGATGAATATCTACTCATCAAGGAAAATAAACAGAATAGCAAATTTCCTAAAGCAGAAATACAAGAAATGAAACAATAGATAGCCAAACACTAACAATGGAGACTTAACACATCCACCTCAGTGCTCACAGAGCAAGTGCACAAAAATTATGAAGTTGTAGGAAACCTATGTAGCATAATCAATAATGCACTGTCTTATAGATGTGCACAGCCATATTTGTATGCCAACAAGACAGGCAGGTTCTTTTCAAATACACATCAAACCTATTATCATTGACCATATATAAGTCCACAGAGAAAAGCTCAATAAATTAAAATAACAAAACAGAACATTCTTTCACTATAATGCAATCAAACCATAAATTGGTAATGAAGTAAAAAAGAAAACATTCCTTCTACCTAGATATAAAAATTCTATTAAACATTTAAAAATGTAAAATAAAATGAAATTGTAGCATTTCTTGAAAATAATGATATTTCTCACATGCTATTTCAGTGTCTCTTGGAAAGCAGATGAAGCACTGCTTGGAGCAAAATTTAAATCATTAAATACTTATGCAAATTAAAGAAAAGAAAAAATAAATGAATTAAATATCTAACTATGAAGTCAGAAAAAAAACAAAATAAGTTAGAAGAAAGGAATTTATAGAGATAAAAGCAGACACTAAGTTAGAAAAAAGAAAATCAGTAGAACTAATAAATAAATGAAAATGCTTATTTTTTAAAAACGTAAACTGAAAAATAAACCTTGGCTAACCCAAATTTTTGAAAAAGAGAGAAAGCTAAATGTATAATTAATAAGAAATCACAAGGAGAAAAGAATGGGGAACAGAGGAGCTTTCGAAAATCATGAGACTGCTTTTCACAATTTATGCAAATAAATAAGAAAGTCTATATAAAATGGATAACTACTAGGAAATGTAATTTATCAAAACTTTCCCAAAAAGAAAAATAAATTTAACAGGCCAGTTTTCATAGAAGGAACAGAAAAAATTTTCCAAGACCTTCTCTGCAAGAAAGAATTAGGTCCAGATGATTTCTCAGAGGACTTTACCAAACTTTTAAAGATCAGATGGTCTCAATGATACTTAACTGTTTCAGATAAATAAGGAAAGCATCCAAGTTATTTTTGAAGTGAATATGAACTGATATGCAAGCTTGATAAAATTTCAGAAAAAAGCTACATGTCACTTATGAATATAAATTCAAAATCTTAAATGAAATAGGTGTAAAGAGGATCTGACAGCGCATTAACAATAATCTATCATAAACCAATGTTCTTGGAATTCAAAGATAGTTCAATATCAAGAAATCTATTGATAAATGTGTCATATTACTAACTGATATAAAAAGAGGAATTGTATGACCATCTTCATATATGCAGAATAGACATTTCAACAAAATTCCACATTCATTTATGATAAAACACCCAGTAAAGAAGGGATCTTTGAATACTTCTTTCAAATGATAAGGTGCTTATCTCAGCTCAAATGCCAGCATCTTATGAGAAAACATTAGATCATTCTATGGTTGGGAACAAAGCAAGAAGGCCCATTAATTCCACTACTATTTTAGAGAGTATTGGAGGCATTTACCTATGAAATTAGGCAGGAGAACATAAGCAGAGA